GGACAGCTGCAGTGAATGCATAGTCCTGGCAGTGAAACACAGAGGTGAGAGTGTGATGACTTGGGTCTGTGTTTGGGAGATTAGATTTACAGACGGCACCATAAATGCCTGTGAACATACCAACACACTGGCTGAATCTACAGAAACTTTGCGGAAGAAGAAGAACATTCCAGGATGATAACAATCCAAAGCACACTGACAAAATCACACAAGAATTTCTGAAGAAGAAAAAAACCCCCAAACAATTACAACCTGGTCAAATATGTCACTTGACTCCAACCCAATAGAACACCTTAAAGAGAAAAGTACATCACTACAACCCCTTAAGCAAAGAGCAGCAGAAAAAAATTTCCACAACACACGATACACGAGCACTTCCCGTAAGATGATATAACTTTGACTTTTTTGACATTTAAGCAACATTACACAACAGACTACTGACTTGTGCTGCATGCTGTTCTTGCAGAACAGCCCCAGACTGCTGCCTGAGCGTCTGCCAGCTTTGTTTTATACACATCCTTTGGTTTCACCCAGCTGTCGTCAGTGAAATTTCAGTTCCTTCTCGCTTGTCACGCTCAATATTCATGTCCCTCGTGCCTCGGCGAGCAATTTTTAGGAATGTACGTTTTTGACATTCCTCCAGAGAAACTTTCCATTGTCTCTCTATTGACTACCTCGCTGAACAATTTAGAAGCACCTTTTTGTTCATACTGGTTTCATTATCTGGGAGTAACATGACTAGGTGTTTCATAGACGGCTATCCCTAACATCGGAACCACAGGTATGCATGTGATACCAGGTAGGGTGTGGCTGCTTTTAAATGCTGAAATATTCCGGTCAGATTGCAGGATATATGAAAACCACTGCGACAACCCAAGAGGCAGGGTATTCTTTTTGCTATGTAACCCATATGATAATCACGGCATTATAGGAGATTTCATTGGCCGTTGGAAAAGTGCTCGTCCTCCCTCACCGGTCATGTTGCCTCTCGCTCCACAGAGCTCTCGCTTGTTGTCACGCTGACCTCCACAATAGTCCTTATTGAAAGCAGCTCCGTTCACTCTGGGTCACATGCCTCACTTTATCTCGCCAGGCGGTGATGCTGCTGGAGGAGCGAGACGCTCAGAACGCACTGTGCAAAGACAGCGTGTAAAAGAACAGTCTCTGAAATGATTATCTTGTTTCTTAAATGTAATCTTAAGACCTGGCATCGTTAAATAACCTCCTACCGGGATCTGTTTAGTTTCTGTAAGGGGGTTTGGTGACAAGAGGAACAAACAGAAAAGAGAAATACAACAGGTTGTAAAGAAAACTAATTCTCCCGTAAAGGCTGAGCAAACAAACAAACAAAGAATGAGGAAATAATTGATGTAAATTACACAGACTAGATGGACTCCATCTGTGAGACGGTGAAACCTCAGATGAAGTCATCCAAAGAGAACGAAGTTCCCCACTTCAGCAACAACAGCTTCACCTGCCTCGTCTTGTTCCTGTTTGAGACGAACAAAAAGGGAAGAACATGTAGAATGTATAAAATGCTATTTATGTAGGTTGTATTTGTTTCTCTAAGTGTGGTAATAATTGACAATCTCTGGCAATTAATCTCAATTATTACTTTGTTTTTTCTAACTAGAGGAAATAAAAGTAGTGAGATCATAAGTAAAAACAGGAGGGAAGGACTTAGTTCAGTGTCCTGCTGTGGCTTGTGATAGAAAAACAGCATCACAACATTAACAATGGATTAAACAAAACCAACAAACCCACATACCTTACTGCTGTAGGCTTTTATTGTGACTCGGCCCAAAGGTCAAAACAACCTTTTGTAGGTTAATGGGTCAGAACCTCAGAGCTGCTGTTAAACCTTCATTTGTATCTACTAGAGGGCATCTAAGGCCACCTGCTGGACATGAATGATAATGAGGCAGCACACAACAGTCCATTAGTTATAGGATAATAAGCTTTACAAGTGTCGAGTTGCACACTGAGAAATTGAGCTGAAACTATTTTTTAAAGATTTTTTTTTTCACTTTCAGCTTTAAAGAAAAAGAAAACAGATTTTTCCAGTTTGCTATATGTGAAGATTTTCTTTTTGTAGCTGTTTTTGTTTAAAGAAATTCTGATGAGCATCTTTTCACTTTTTTCTGTTTCAGACAAAATTATTAATAACTAATGCACATCACTGGAATGTCCATCCATCCATTATCTATACACCGCTTAATCCTCACTAAGGTCGTGGGGGGCTGGAGTCTGT